CAGGAGCCAGTTTTCCCTCCGACGTCCACAATCCAAGAGGGACTTTTACCGTCTTTTGGGGAAAACATGGCTCCTCCTCGCCAGGGCTACTCCCGAAGAACGGAGGCAGCGCGAAGCAGCCGCTAGAGCGCAATCTGGCTGTTTCATCACCTGGTTGAGGTGCTATTCCTGCTCCCTTACTGTTAAAGGAAAAATCTGTTCGAAACTCAACCGTAGGCGGGAAATTACAGTCATTACCAACCCGCTCCCCTGACAGGCCTTTGTATTTCATGTGCCGACGCTCCCTGAGCAGACCCTGGGGTTTCTCTGCTACCTAGCGAAGGAACACGACGCACGCCGTGACAGAGAGACCAGCGTGATACAGAGAGCAGCTCCACAGGCCACCGCCACCCCACTCGGACTGCTACACAACTGCGGGCAAAGAGAATGCCGGGACAAACCACAACGGGGCCTGATCGTCCCCTGGATTGTAGGCAAGCACGGAGCCAGGGCCCAACTCTGCGGCCTGTCCGTTACCGTAACTGGCTGAACCAACCTCTCCCACCTGAACCTGCTTCTGGACTGATGGATGTGAACATCAGTGCCCGGGCCCCACCTCTAATCAAGGATTAGAAGACTGAAAGCTACAGGAGCATTACAAAGGAGATGGTGGGGGCGGGGAGATCCCTCGCCTCTTAAGGGTCAGCTATGCGGATGCCAACACAGGAAGCTAACAAATTCTAGCGCCCCCTCAGCCCCGTTCGTGTGTTAGGCTGGAGCGGGGACCACAGCAGTGCAAGCTGTCTGCCACTTCCTGCCCCAGGCCACCCGGCCCCAGAAGTGCATGAGGCTACCCTGGGACTAGGCAGGGCCAGGCTATGCTCTTGCTCAATTTGCTGCTTCGCAGAGGCAAGGGATCCCCTGGAGCGAATCTGGCCCCCGTATCTGATTTGGCCCCCGATACCTGGCGATGCTCCCCTGCCAGCACAAGGGTTCGACCTGTCCAGGAGAATCGCCTAACGCTGTATGTGCTCATTTCCACTGCTCTGACCCCTGTACCTTCCTGTCATAGAATCATAGGACTGGAAGGGACCTCGAGAGGTCATCTAGTCCAGTCCCTGCACTCATGGCAGGACTAAGTATTATCTGGACCATCCCTGACAGATGTTTGTCTAACCTGCTCTTAAAAAATCCCCAATGATGGAGATGGCCTAGTACCCACACCTGCCTCTCGGCTAGCCCACAGCACTCATGGAAGGTGGAGTGAGCCGAAGACTAGATAGGCTGACACCCAGCTGCTCTTTCCGAGGTTTATTTCAATCAGCAGGTTTTTACACTGGAACGGAGCAAGCGTGGGTGATTGCATGTGTGGTGGTGAGGGGTTCTCTCTGCAGCAGGGGACATACCCTGTGCCATCGCAGTGTTACACTGCTGCTTACTCTGCATCCAACCTGACAGCCCCTTGCAAGAGCACAAGGTTTTAGTGCTAGGAAGGGGCAACAGAGCAGAAATCTGGACATTTTGCACATACACACGCACGCAATGAAGTGCATTTCCACACACATGCAGGCTAAGCAAAAGGCGGCTAAGAAGCAGAAGGCGACTAAGAAGAAGGCTTCACATGGACCCCTGTTTAATTCATTTAATATCAATGTGTGTGCCAGTGTACTAGTAAAAAGGCTGGTGTTTCTAACTGCCAGCCCTGAAAACTCAGCCTGGCTATCTGAGAATCAAGTGGGGGTCGCTTCCCTTCTTGTGCATCATCACCTGAGCTAAAGGTGCTGCAGGCCAACAACACCTGCGCAGCCACCCACTGTCCTCAGAGCATGCCCTCACCTGTGTCAATCCACTGCTTTCCATGTGTTTGCACAGGAGCGGATGATGCACAAAGTACGACAGACCCCTTAGCCCTAGGCTTGCAGAGCCAGCACAGTTCACAGTACTGAAAAGTGGCCAAAGCTTATTTTTGTCACTGAAGTCAGCAGATCTGAGCCTCCGTGATGCACAGGGAGGAAAAGCTGGTGAGTAAGAAGGTGCCAGCATTACGTAGTCCCTTTTCAAAGTAAAACTACATGTTAAAGCTTTGGGGAAAGCCCTGAGCTGCATCTAGAATGGTTACTAGCTCTTCGATAAATCCCCTGAACCTAGCAGCTAGCCAAGCATTCCCAGGTCCGGGGCATTAGAGCACAGGCAAGGAAAAACCATCCTGCAGCGAAATCTCAATCAGGTCCAAGCTGGGGCTGAAGCTCCACTCTCTACCCACCACCTAGTCCAAAAGCAAGTGTGGTAACTCCTGGAGCAACTAACAGCTAATCAAAACCGCCTGCTTGTACCTTTGAATCACAGTCACAATGGAAGAGGCCGATGATATCAGAACACACGGCACCATAATTATATCAATCGCTGTACGTTTTGGCAGACTATTGAATCAAAGTTTACTACAAAATAAAAGTGTCGTTAAACAAGAACTTTACCCTTACAAGGTTCTCGTTCCCCTAGTTAACTTTAATAATATGGTATTCCCCACAGTTGTCTCACCCTATATCCATATTACCGCCTTCCCTTACTTAAAATCTCTCCGTTCAGCATCGCTATGCAAGTGCTGTTGAATATGCTCACTCAGATTGCAACCTGGAGAGATTATTCAACTACCCTGCTTTACTACCCCAAACCAAGGTCCTTGGCATACGTGCTGCGGGGTTTGACCCTTACAGCCATCAGCTGGAAGGATCAGACTGGGACTGACTGCTGAGGTTCGTTTTGAATATTCAGAATGCCAACTGGCTGCAGGCTAAAAAAATAATCCAGGACCAAGCTTTGGAAGTGCCAGTTAGAGTGAATTCAAACTCGCTGGGTGCACTCAGCAGGAAAATGCCTTGTGAAGGTGGCTGGGGACTGGCAAGATGGGAATTTAGCTTCTCTGCAGACACCTGTGATGGAAACCTCGCTATTTCTCAGATCAGGGCGTGGGGGAAACATCATTCAAATGGCCAGAGGGTCGGGGGAGACCAAACCCCACACTCCCGTGGGCTGATCCAACCCTGCGTAGGCTGGAGCGCTGCCTGCTGCCTTTCTATACAAATTGGGCAGATGTTGGGGCTACTGGATGCCCCCTCCCCACAGTTCCATCCTCCACGCTGGCTTAGGTGGGTGGCTACCAAGACTGCTCCTTTTAGCACAGCCCCACTGTGCAGCCTAAATGGCTCTTCTACCGTCAAATCGGAAAGAGGGGGCTGCTCAAAGTGACCCTTGCAGCAGAAATCCACTGAGCGGCAGCTGCTAATCTCAGCAGCTGGAGCTCAGCCAGGCAGCCTGAAGTCTATCGAGTAAGTGACGAGCCTAGAGAGAGTAACGCTTGGCCGTACACAAGACTGGCCCAGGGGTTTATAGAGGGTCAGAATGGCTCAAATGAGAACACGCCAAACATATTGGTGTATTCGAATTAGAAATAAACTCAGTCCAGGATACTGCAGGCACGTGAGAAGCCAGAGGCTATGCTCCATGTGCCTCCTGCAGGTGCTTTTCCCCAACTGATCTAACACCTGCCAGCAGGTCTGGCTAAGTTTGCTGTCCCCAAATGAAGCTCGTTTCCATTTGAAGCTGCATGTCTACACTACTCGCAGGCCAGAAGAGCGGGAGCGAGCTGAGCAGGATGCACTTGGCACTGGCTGGGAACTCAACCGCAGATCAACAGGACATGACTTCGGAAAAAATTAAACAGCAGAAATCTTGGCACAGGAGCCCGACGAACGAGGGGGAAGTGGCAAGGGGAGCCTGCTACACTCAGCACATTTACACAACGGTCTTAGCGACGGGCTCTCTCGGCCACAGGATGCAAAACAAACCTCCTCCGGCCAGCAGCCTCGCCCCGGTCAAAGGGACAGCCCTGTCTCAGCATTCAGCAGGAGAATCCCCATCTGCAATTGCGATTCAGGGGCCTGGGGGCTCTTGGTCGATGATGTAGCAGTGGCAGTCGCTTTACAAACAACAGTGCATCCTCTAAAGGAGGCAGCAGAGATCGGAAACTCTGACTTGCCATTAGTGGGCTATTGCAATTGTGCAGTTATGGGCCAGGGGGGTTATCTTCTACTCTTTTGACACATGGGAATCCCCCTGCATGGGCGTCAGGGTACATGCCTTTTACCGGTGTGGGGCCACATGTGAACCACGAACACACAGAAAGTGACCCCAAATTCAGGGTCAGGAAGGAATTTTCCCCCAGGTCAGACTGGCAAGGACTGTGGGGGCGGAGGGTTGCCTTCCTCTGCATGGATCATGGATTATCTGCTGGGCATATCTCACTAACACAATTTCCTGCCACTGCAGGGACCTTGGGCACTGGGCACCTTGGTCCCTCCAGTTTTCTGCCTGTGGCACACAATAGTTTAGTCTCTTTAGGCTACAATACTCTGGTTTAATTCTGGTTGTTGGACTTGGTGTGGAGGTGGGTGGTGTTTGCTGGCCTGTGATATGCAGGTGGTCAGACTAGATGATCCCTTCTAGTCTTCAACTCCGTGACACAGAGCTAAACCCCAGCTATCTAGCCCAGGCCTGCAAACCACCAACTGCTCTCCCAGTTGGACATCGACACGAGTTCTGGCCATGCAGCCGTCTCCTGCGGTGACCTCGCTCCAGCAATGCGACAACACCTTGTCCTTCCATGACACAAATCAATCGCACATGACTCCTGGAGCAAGCACTGACAAAATCCCCAAACTTGCTGCCAACCTTGTAGCTTGTTACCAAAACAAACACAAAAGCACTTTTCTCAGACTATACAGGTCCTCGTTCCTGCTCGCCTAAATCGAGCATAAATCAGGAGTCACTCCACTGAAGTCAATGGTTTTACACAGTGGGTGAAAGCAGTGTAAAGAAGAGTAGAATCAGGACCCCAAGATTCAGTGTGGTAACACACCCACACTGTCTCTGCTGGGCGCGTACCATCCAACACCATGGACTGGCTTCCTTTCCAGACCAACAGGACTGGCAAATGGAGAAAAAAAAACTGTATTGTGTATTACCTTTTTTGGCCGTTTCCATTTCTTCCTCTGTCCAGCGAGAACTTTCATTCATCTCCAAAGAAGCTGAAAAATAAACAGACAGAACCAAGCGGTCACGGCGAGAGGGATTTGAACGTACGAAACACAGCAACTGAGCCAGAAAATCTCAGGAGGGTTACTGGCGCCCAAATGCCAGCCACTCTGATCAGAATACACTGGACATGGATAACGCCTTTCATCTGAGCATCCCAAAGTGCTTCACAAGCCTCCGTGCCAGGCCCAATATCACCGAGCCAGCATAGTATCCGTCACACCGATGGAAGGTCTGAGTGGAAGGTAGCTTTGGGCTGGGAAAACGAAGCTAGCCCCCCTTAGGGAAACTGTGTTTTGCCAATAATATGTTGGTCCCACTCGCCCTTGTCCCGCAGAAAAAAGGTGTGACGTAGTTACTGATTTTATTCTAATTGTGTGGAGAGGTGTCGTCGCCGGGGGTGGCAAGAGCTGAGAACTCAGACCGGCTGCAGGGCCGTGGTCATCTCAACAATACTGATCAACCCCCAGGGAGCGGAGAGTCAGTAGGGGGAGCCAGTCGGTAGCAAATCTGATGCACTTAGAGAGATGGTGCAATACCCAGGCGATCAGAGATTTCCAGAGACTGCATGCAGCACCTTGGGCTACATCGGATTCACTTTCACACCCGACAAGAGCCTCGGAGCAACAGCGAATCTCAGGAGGCCTGGATGCAACCCGTGCCCTCCAACCAGCACAGTAAGAGATGGGTGCCGGTTATGCCCACCATTCACTTATATTCCCCACCCCCATGCGCCATGTGGGCCTGAGTAATGTATTCACTGGCAGCCTGACACACGTGAGCAAACCCTACAACAACAAACTACTATGTGAGTCAGAGACAGAAAACCCCCAGTAAGCAAACAGATTTCCATTTCAGCTGCCAACAGGCAGAGCATTATTTCAACACCGAGGAGAGAGGTTTTGACCATGTCCTTTTAAAATGGAAACTAGGCCGACAGGCTAGGTTAAAGGACAGTGGTGGGGAGGAGAAGCAGCATCTCCGAGAAGCTTGTAAAGGCTCTAGGGCTCTGGAGGGGGAAGAGTACAGCTCTGATGCCCACAACCTGTTAAGTACCAGGGCCTGGGAGTGAGAAAAATGCATCTCCTTCACAGCTGACTGCACCAGATTGCAGGTGTCGCCTCGTGGAAGTCACCGCAGGTCATTTCCTCCATTAGAAATATAGTCCCCACAGAGATCCAGCCGGCACATGTTAGCTCAGCTGGTAGAAGAAATCAATACCTAGGAATTTTCTTTCCCCCTCCATGGGCAAATTCAGGGCTTCAAGATTTATTTGCTTTAAGTATCCCAAACACACTTGACTAGGCATTTAATTGAGTTTTAATAAGATTGTCAGTGTATGTTAAATAAATGTCAGATAAATGGCCTATTGGGTTTGATTAATGATATTTATTGAGGTTGAGCAGTTACGTAACAGATGTCTACTGGGAGCTGCAGCGTGCTGCAGCTAAACCACAGTATGGGGGTTTTGGTTTGTTTTTTAATGTTCAATGGGACTTTAACATGCAGTAACTGTCTTCGCCAACCTACATTAAATCACTACTGGGGAGACACAAAGTGTAACTGATTGCTTCGGCATGCCAGTGACATCAGCCCATTTCCTTTGGTCACTTTACTATTGTCAGCTGGCTTTTCTCCCCGCTTGTGATTCCACTGGAGACCTCTGGAGGAAACATGCTACCTAAATGACTGGGCTTATTCCCTACCGCTACTGGCACAATGCCTAAGCACCCCAAACAGGGCCCAGGGCCCCCCCGTGCTAGCACTATACACACACACAGACAGTCACTGCACTGGAGAGCTCACAGTCAAGGGTTTAGACAATACTCAGCCGGTGAATCAGACACATTTGCAGACCTAATTTATACTAATAAAGACACTGCTTTCAGTAAGGAAATTCTCCAATAGACAGGTATGGATCAATGTTTCTTTAGTATTTGCTATAGGGAATCGGGCAAATACTGCAGTCAGTGTATCGAAGACAGCCGTGGATAGTTCCCAAGGGAAACCACCATCTTTTTGTCAGTCATAGAAGGAAGGGAAAGATAGACACCATCTACCATTGCCTGGATATGGCACGTTTCAACACTTACAAGCCCCCATGTGGCTGGCAGTGGAAGCTATCACCTTTGTATGGATCTCAGCTGCATGCAGGATCCTTGTCTCCTGTCATTCCAAACTAAGGGTTACGCTAGCCGTCTGTCCATGAGTTTTAGGGTGAGATCAGTTTGACTTCTCTCTCTTATTTCTGACAACACCACGGGCATCGCCCTGCCAGCCTGAGATGCCCTCAAGTCTCAGGAAACATAATGGCACTTTCAGGATGTTCCGGGGTTGTTGTATTGGGTCCTCTCCTTTGAAATCACTGCACACGTGTTTGCCCGGCGGGGAGGTTGGCTGAAATGGGGCAGGGAATCAGAGCTGCGTCGAACAGGCTAGCCTAGCAAGTAAAGTCCCAAGCGCAGACAGCGTGGGACAGAAAGCAATAGGGGTAAGGGATGTGCTGAGGATCTCCTACTCTGGAAGAAATATGGAATCACAGGCTATAGGTAGAGAGTTGTCCCAGCCTTCCCCTCACCGAGCTATCATGTGTGGTGCCCACAAAAAGGCAAGGAAGGAGAAGCCTGGCTTTCCAACACCACGGTCACTGCAACAAGCTGCATCAGAGCCGTCGCCCATCCCTACTGCTTCTGAGACCAGGCACCCCACAAACTGGAGGGAGCGGGGGCCAGGGCAGGGAGCCAGTGACGCCAAGCGAGGCCCCCGGGCAGGTGCAGCGCACTGTGTCTCTGCTGGCTGTGGAGCTCTCAAGGACAGTCTGAGCCTGCCTCAGGGCACATGGTGAAACACTCCGCCAGCCAGACTCCCAAGGATGGCCTCGCACTCAATAGCCACCGGCAGTACAGAGAGGCCTGCATGAAGATCTGCACGGCTTTGCTGAAAATGGCACAATTCCCTTTGACTTCCTTCGGGGCTTTCCAGCTGAGGTTCCACGTGACGCAAACCTCACCTGGTGAGACACAGGCCTGGCCCTCTGAGATGCCTCCTGTCCAGCTGGATGAATTCCACTGGGTAATCCTGAGGTGCTGGTGAAACATCGCTCCCACTCCTCAGGACAGGAGGAATTTTAAAGAGCCAGGGCTGTAGGACAGGATTATCATCCTCCATGTCCAGATAGAGAAACTGAGGCACGGTGACGTGTCCCAGGCTGCCCAATGAATCAGTGACAAAACAGAGGCGAAACCCAGCAGCCTTTGTTCCCAGCGCCTTCCCTCCACCCAGCTGGCTGGACTGATACAAACCCCTCCTCCCCACCTTGGGTTACGGAGGCTTTGTGCCCAGCAGGTACATACCCAGCTCTGTGTTCTGCTGAGGAGCGGCTGCCTCCTCGTGGTTGGCCTCGTTAGCCATGGAACGGGTGATGCGGCCTTTGCGCCTGCCCTGACTGTTGGCGGTTTTACGCCCTTTGGAAGCGACGGCTTCTTTCTCGTCGTTATCCTCCCCGGACGTGTCGTCATTCTTCTCCCTGCAAGAGCGGGGAAATCACTGGGTGATGGGATATATTTTGGGAGTTTGCAACGAGGGCACTTTGCCTGACTTTGGGTGGGTTGGGTTTTTTTTTTTTTTTTTTTTTTTTGCAGATGGTTGCAGTTCCAAGAGTGTGCAGAGACCTGACAGAGACAGGTTTAATGCTGGGCCATTCAAATTTATCATCGCCTCCTCCTCATTTATCTTCTTGAAAGGGACCTGCTGGTAAATGTTTAGGCAGCCTGGATATAATGAAGCCAGATGTTCTCCTAAGCCAAGTATTAAGCCCATTACAGATAGCTAGCAGTCTGCCTGCCAACCTTTCCCAGCAACAAATCCGGCGTTCCCTGCTAAGCCAGGCGGTGCCAAGCACGGTTATAAAACTGGTCGAATCCCTTGAGCTGGAAGATCTCACATCGACAGCAACACCGCTAAAGGTGAAGCTCTATGCTCCGCTGCATCCTGAGTTCTGCTTTGACTCTAGGAGGCTCAGCGATATCTTGCAACAATAAAACAAACCCTGGTATCAAAGCTGCTTCATGGACTGATCGGCTTTATAAAGCAAGTCAGTGATTTCATCTAGGCTCTCCAGGGATGCGGGGGAAGAGGGGAAATCTATAAACGAATAGACTCGCTCCTTTGCTAGCAGCAGGTTTAGCCTGCTCTGTGCTAGGAGAAGAGAGGGGTACACGCAGCACATCCAAGGTAACCTGCAAAAGGATCACCCAATACTGGGATCAGAGCCCAGATTCTGCTGGATGCACTTCAAAGCATTGACCACTCTCCTCCCCCCCCCCAGTGCGGTTCTCCTTAAGGAGGGAACATTGAGATGATGCATTCCCAGCCCAGTGCACACTATGATCCCTAGGGGCGCGGAGCGGAGAGAAAGGAGAAAACTTGCTTACTTTGTCAGTTCTTCTTTGTCGTTTTCTGCTTCCTGTTTGTCTTCCTCCTTCTCTGCCTCCTTCTCCTTTTCTTTCTCTTTTTCATCCTTCTCCTCTTGGCTGCTACGGGGCATCTGCTGCTGCTGCTGCTGCTGCAAAACAAGGGACAATAATAAAAAAAAAAAAACTGTTGAGGCGGATAAATCTCAGCACCTGGACTAAACCAAACAAGCGCATTTAAACAATGCTGAAGGGGCTGACCGAGAGGGGAAACGAACAAAGTGCTGCTTGAGCCACGGGGTGGACATCTGCAGTCAAGGGGCAGGCAGGGCTGCTGCAGGCCAGTGGGTCAGAAAGCTTAATGCAGAGATCAGAGCCCGTTTTGGGTCTGTGCTTGGGGACCTGATCCAACTCCCATGAAGGTGAATGGAAAGGCTCCCACTGGCTACAGAAGCGACGAGGCTGCAGAGGCTACAAACGACGCAACCCGTTTCAGGGCAAGTGACGCAATGAATACTATGCAGGAGAAGTAAACCTGACCCCTGATCACCTGGAGGAGACTCAGCACAGCTTGACAGACACTTCATTTAGAAGCCGTTACTCCCATCTGCCCCAAACACTGCTGGGTGTGAGGCACCCACCTGTCTTTACCCTCCTTTAAGAGAGTTTGTGCAGGTGCCCATCAAAACTCTATTGGCACCGCCCCCCTCCCAGGCATTTCATGTTACCAAACGGGAGCTTTTGTAAAATGATAATAATGATGCTGGGTTCCATTTTGCAGCTGCAGGAAGACAGCACGGGGGAGGCCCGATTCCTCAGACCTCCTTCTGGCTAGCATCAAATGAAAGGAATTCCACAGAGATGTAGAAATTAGAGACGGAAATGATTTATTAAGCCATGCAGCTCCCCAGCTAATACAGGACTGTTTCCTATAGTAAATCCACTGGGGCTTGGCCAGCGCAGCTTCCCTGGGGAAAGGATTCCACAGGCTGAAAAGAAGAAATCTCAAACTGAATTGATCCGCAGAAGGGCTGATCCCGGATGACCTGTGCGTCCTGCTTGCAGCTGCTAGGAAGGTGCTTTATGGCAGAGGTGTGCGATTTGATAGCACACTCCAGCGTTGCCCGTGAACACAGATCTCCCGTGCACCAGCGTTCTGCGCCAAGTGAACTCTTGTGCCCCAAAGGGTTAGTGCTAACGGAGACGCGCAGAGCTATCGAAATGGGCTACGGGAAGCGACAGGAAAGCATCGTGTTCTTTCAGGCCTTGATTCGGCAAAGTACTGGAGGCACGTGCTTCACTTTAAGGATGCGCTCACGACTTCAGCGCCTCTCTTTCTATTTGTGTAGGTTCAAATGGCACAAACCAAATGGCAATCGTAAAGAGCGAGCCTGATTCTCCACTGCCTGCTGCCCTACGCTGGCATCTGCGCTTGCACAACGGGAGCGTGAAGCCCAGCCAGATCAGAACGGCAGCCTTTCACGCCCGCGGGGCACTAGTGAAAATGACGACACGAGGCATGAAGCAGCCAAGAATCGGACGTAGTGACGGGAGAACTTCGAAAGGGTTGGAACCGCAGTTCAGAGAATACCCAATTGCTTTTCAAACCTTCCTCTGATCCGCCAGAAGCTCTGTAGTCTGCAACAGGGCCTGCAACAGGCTGTCTCAGGAGATTTCTGGGGCAGGTAAACCTAGCTTAGCTGGAAGCCTGGGTTCTCAGGACTGGCAAAAGTAAAACGTCTCTAAGTATCAACCGCTTCCGACCCTGCAATGAATTCTGCATGGGCAGCCACTGGGCCTGTGTAGACATGGAGCTCCACTCACGTGGTACTCACTGCAGAGGGGCGGGATCTAAAGGGTTTATATCGAGATCTGGGGATGGACACGGTGCTCCTCCCTCCGGGGCGAGGGAGCCCCCTGAAAGGCAAGAGACGGTCTCTCGACCCAATTCACACAGCTGCTAGATGAATCAGGCAAGTTCAGAGAAGCCGTTCGGGTATTTAAATGCCGCATCATCAAATCAATACAGGAGATTTAGACTCGGACATTGATGCAAGTGTAAATAACGAAGCCCTACAAGCAAGTGCTTCTGCGCCTGCAGAGTCAAGCCAGAAAAATGCCCTTGTCTAGCTAGATCCCCAATGCACGTCCTCATTCATCCAAAAGATCACACTAGAGGAACTGCTGCCAATGCATCTGCATGGACAGGAAGCAGCAGTGGAGGGCGTTAGATGGCAGGAAATCGGGGGCGGGATCTTTCAGACCTCATTGCGGGTTAGCGAGAGCAGCCTGGATGGGGCTAAACTTAGTGCCATTCATTAATAATACTAACTAATGCTAATAATCTGTTGCATTCGTTTCAAGGAGGCTGCTGCAGAAGTGGAATCCGATGCTCACGAGTGCAAAGCACTCTCTGCTTGCTGTCCTCAGGAACACCAAGAGACAGTTTTGTTGCTGGCAGCAAATACAAGCTACTTGCTGAGTAACCGCTACTAGGTAGCCACATGCGTCTGCGAGAGCACCACTTGTAGCCATGGAGGCAACGCACCTGAAGGCACGGAGGACCTCTCGGGAGGTGGCAACTGCACCACTTTATTTGGCTTTTCAAAAGCGCTTGGTTTAAACACAAATCCTGAAATAAAACTGAAATGCAAACACAGCAGCTACTGTTCTTCCTCCTGCTCCTTTGATGGCCTCTTGGGTTTGCAGGAAGCGTTCTCACGGCTAAGAGGAATCTCCCAACCTCCATGGACCCATGTCTCCAGAATGCGACGGGTATGATTTACGCCCACCAAAAGGTTCAGCTCGGACTGCAACCCTCCCTCTAACTCAGCTCCTCCTCCCTCACTGGCCTGGTCCCACCCCCTCTACACAAGCAGGGTCAAATATTACACATGCTCAGTCCCTCTCCTGGCACTGCGGCAGAGAGGCCAGATTTCCCCGCTACCCACGGGCAGGTGGTTAAGGAGGGGAGCAGAGCTGCACGAGGATCAGCGAGGATCATCCTGAACACAGCACATGGCAAAGACCAGGCTGACGGGGAAGGAGCGCACAACACAACCTCCCTGCGTTGCACTAATGCTGCCCTGAACTCCGTGACACTTTCTGAGTCACTGACGCGGTTCGCCAGTGAACTCCGGAGCTTGGGTTCGGCTCGGACAAAGAGCCACAAGATTAGCAAGACTCCTGAGCTTCGAAGGGCGTGATGGTCTCCTGAGGAGAGGCGTCTGGGTGGGGTGGGCTAGGCTTCTCATTTGGTCAGATCCGGCACATTCCCTCCCTATTAACCATTTCAGCAACGAGGCCCAACGGGTTTTAGGAAAAAAAAACCTTAGGCTTTTTTCAACCCTTTTTACTGCACTTTCCAGACCTGCCTCCCTCTCCCTCGCAATGGGCTGAATTACACCGCGTGACGACAGCCCAGGACGTGCAGATGCCAGTGAGCGTGTAAAAGGCCGGGGCGGGGTGCCCCTCGCAGCTTCACCCCCGCTTGGGGTGAAAGTTTTGAGCAGCCACTGATATTCCCCCCCCCCCCCGCCATGACTTCCCAGCGCTCCCCCGGAGGGCCTGCTGCAGCGCTATCCCACTGAACCTGTGCCATGGTGTCCGAGTGCTGCCAGGACCCCGGGAGCATGCGGTGAACTAGACGAGGCCGCACGCTCCCCCTTTGCTGCTCGGCCACCAGGCGAGGGGGCGGGGTGTGCTTATTTGGGGAGCTATTGTGGGAAGGCCAATGAAAAGCGGGGCCTTGTGTTTTTAACACCAGCCAGCCACAGCGGGCGTTATGTAGCTAGGCGTGCTCCCAGGGCTGGGTCAGTAGCAGATCCGCACTGCCAGCCGGCTCTGGCTGCCCCAGCATCTCCTCACCATCTTCCTCCCCCTGCCCTGTAGGGCTACTCAGGACTGCTCCACTCTCCGCCCAGAGTCACAGAAGCTTTTGGCAGCCCACAGCCCCTTGCACTGAGGAATCACCTGTCCACTCCTCCCTCCAGAAGGGATCATGGACACTCCTCACTGCCTGGGGTGGTGCAGGCAGGAATTCTCTAAGACAGCCAGGAGAAGGCCTGCTCTGCCCTGGTCACACAACCCTAATTAACCTCCAGACCGATGGATTCCTTCGTGGTTTGTGGGCTTTGGGAAACAGGCCTCTGTGCAGCAGATGGAATTCAGGATGCAGAGCAGAAGGCGCACTAGCTGCCACGACGTCCAAGTGCCCATCTTCCACACTGAGGTCAACGATTAATCGAGTGATCCAGGAGACGGATCACCGCGCAGGCTAACAGCCCCTCCCTGCCAGACGGGTACAGGCCCTAAACACGCCTGTGACCACAACAGCAGCAAATTGCCTCTTATTCCTGCAAAGACGCCAGCTTCTCAGTTCGAAGCCTCACTGATAAACGCCCCAGTCAGTGTGCGGCGAGCTACAGTGTCCCTGCCCTCCTGCAGCCTTCCCCCCACCCCATCACTGGTTCCCCTTTGCTCAGGCCTGGCCTACACCTAGAACTTAGGCTGACCTAACTACACTGGACGGGGCTGTGAGAAATTTCACAGCCGGTGCGACGCAGGCAGGTTGCCCTAACTCCCACTGTAGAGGCAGCTAGGTCGACACAAACATTCATTCCTCGCCCCGGCGAGCGCCTCTCCGAGAGGTGGATTACCCAGCTGAGCCCAACCCCTCCGTCGATGTAGGAAGCACCGACGCGACAGCAGCACAGCTGCAGACCCACAACTGTGTCGCAGTAGCCGCTGTAGTGTAGACATCTCCCACAGCATGCAAGCAAAGGGGGATGAAATTTACAAGCCTATTACATCCCCTGGCCTGCTCACAAGAAGGGAGCCAGCAGGCAGAGCTGAGATGGATGTGACATTACCATCCTTCCCTTCTAAACTGACACACACTAGGTGGGAACAACAGACAGGAAGGATGGTCCAGTGGTTAGAGCACAAGCCTAGGAGACCTGGGTTCAAATCCCTGCATTGCTACAGGCTGCCTGTGAGAGCCTGGGCAACTCACTTAGTTGCTCCGGGCCTCAGGTCTCCATACAGAAAAATAGGTCTAATAGCACTTCTCAACATCACAGGGGGTGTGGTGAGGTGCCCAGAGATGCGGGCCATGGAGGTACCTTGGATAGATCAGCTCCTTTGGCCTTGA